CCCCGCTGCCCTGCAGCGCACCTCTCACCTCCTAGCGCTCCATCAACGCCCCTGGCATTAGCGCAGCATCAAGCAGAAGCGCAACAGCACTTCCGCATTGCCAGCGTTGGCCAGTGTGTCTGACCTGGGCTGCCTCACTTCCTTTATGGAAGTGTCAGCCCCTTGGATGCTATTTGTGGCCTGGCTGGAAGCTTCCAGAAGCTTCCGGCTGGGCCTAAGACCCTGTGCCCAGGTCGAGACTGACAGTTGAGGGCCTGGGCCCTTTAYAGTTGGGCGCGGCCTGAGTCTCCGGACCTGGGCTGTTAGCTGTATCTGCGCAGGGCCCCTAGGGCCCTAGGTAGGTGCGTCGGCTTTCGCACTYCTCCCAAAAYGAAGGCGGGTAGTGAAGGATCTCKTTCTGCATTWGTAAAACTGTGATCTGTCTATCCTTCTCCGCCAGGGTTGCGCGAATCTCATTGTAGGATGCACACGACGACGGTTCCGAAGTGGAAGCTTCCCTCTCCTTGCCCTTATCTGAGACAGACAAAGATTCAAACTTGGTACTCAGCTCGTTGTCCTCCACCTTCCATCCACCCCCCCCGTTCAGCAGTTCGTCGTAGAACCTCCACGTCGTTTCTGCCTGGGAACGTGCAACCTGCAGTTCTGCTTCGGCAGCCTCCAACCTTGCCAAGGCATCGTCTCTCTCTTGCACCGCCTCTTGCAACGCACGGGAACTATGATCAAATCTCGCCCGCATATCATCCGCCATCAGTCTCCATCCATCTATCTGTCGTCGTATCTGCATGTTCTTGACGACGAGGTCGTCACAGCACTGTCGCAGAGCGTCACGTGAGTGACGCAGCCTTTTCCGGACAGAAGACACCCATCTCCGGGTATGGATGTTCTCGAGGGAGATGTCGTGTTCACAAACCGTTCGCCCAGTCCGCAATGTCACGGTTATGCTATCTCCCCTGTCCACCAAAAACCAGTGCAGCAGCGACACCTCCTTCTCCGTTTTTTCCATGTCATCTATCAATGCACGTCTYGCGTACGCATAGTCCCTGTGTTCGCCCTCSGTCGCCATAGTTGTCACTCGCCRTAYACGGAAGCCCAAACAACGCTCCACCTAAGCAACCTGCCACTCGCTCAACAGGTGCCGCCAACAGCACTATCCGCCAGTTTCTTYGAGAGTACAGAACAGACCCRGATGAGAACACAGTCCCACGATTTGTAGTCAAGCTTCCCGCCTGAGTTCCCACAAACGCAGGACTTTGGTGCACAGTGCGTCCCTCACGGCCTGGCCCCGTTCCTGACCAAACATGCACTCAAGTGGACAACCGTCCACACGCCTGTCAACATCCACAGGTGGACAGTTCGGAGACGAGGCATCACTCACATCGCTGTCCGCTTCGGGCAGGTCACCCCAATCCTGAAGCAGGTTGTGGAGGATACAACAGGCGCGGAACTCCAACCGCTCCCTCTTGATGTCGGAAACATGTGGACGGTAGAAGAACTGAAAGCGCATCTTGAACACCCCGAAGAATCACTCCACTCAAGACCTCACTATCTTGTGAAGAGCGTCGAACTGCTGCATCGACCGCGTGACTACTGGTTGACGTCCGTATGGAATGACAAGCCAAGGGAGATTGGGATACCCTTCATCGCCAAGCAAGTACCGGCCGGGCACACCGGGGATGGAAGGCCGTTCGTCCACGAATGGGTCTTCTGCACCCTMTACRAACAGTGAGCCCTTCAGGGTTCGCCTATACAGTGACGTGTTTTTCAAAGCACGTGCATCCCCAACAGTCCCCGGAAACCCATAGCAGAAATCGAGGATCTTCAACTCCGAATCGACCACCAGTTGCRCAACGACCGAGAACCGGTTGTTCCTTCCGGAGCAGTAGTCGTCGYCGCCCTTCGATCGCGGTTTATCCACATACACATGGGTGCAGTCAATGCACCCCCAGCAATTYGGAAAAMCCAACACCTCAAACTGCTGCATTCGCCGATGACGCTGTTCGAATACCCCAAACCCAACAACGTTCAGATATGCCGCGTGAATGGCCTCCGCCACTTCTCTGATGGCTCGCAACCGGCTCGTTTTGCCCATCCCATAACMCGAGCAACTGTGCCAGTGAGAGTCACCGTGGGCCCATCTATGGAGAGCGTACGCCAGTTTCTTAGCTGGAGACCACGACAACCTGAATCGTGTCACCTCCTTCTCGAGCAGCGGACCCACCTTGCGCAGCAGCTTGTTGAATGTTGAGCGAGGCATACACAGCAGCCCTATGTAATGATCGTTCTCGGCGTCATCGGCGATCTGAAGATCGTTCCATAACCCAGCTGTCCGTCGCATGACCCAMCACCTAGGCGAATTCCTTGGTAAAAGATTGCACATTTCRACAATAGTTGGCCACAGCCAGAGTAGACTACGYCCTCCCCACCCGTGCCCCTAATCATCTTCCCCTTCACCGAACAGGGTCTGATCAGAATCAGACCCCATCAGCAGCGGTCTCCTTGTATTGGAACCCAACAGCAAATCCAAGCTTTGAAAGGCATCCTCGGCCATCCTCCCGGCGATGGCCATGACTGCAACAGCGAGCTCTTCTCGCTGTCTGCTTCTCAGGCGCGGCATTGGTCACGGCAGCAGGCTGCCACACCCCACCACCTCCTCAGCCGACCCCTTCGCCCCTGCCGTTGAC